GCACAATACAGGGATGTACCTGCAATCTCGACAAATCATGCACTTTCTGGTGGAGATGTTATAGGGTATCTCTTCAGAGGAAAGGGATCAGGAGAACTTCCATGTGCAACAGCATATGAATAATGGTGCACAGACTTGAAGTGTTGACCAGGCTTATCAACTGCAATAAATCCTTTGAACTTTGGGTCTTGGTTTGATCCTTCGTCTTCCGACTTGTGCTCCGTCCGGGAACCATCACAAAAATCAAATATCTTCACTTTTGTTTCCTCAGCCGCATCAAAATATTCGGCTGCCTTGTCAAACTCCTGGCAGCATTGATATACCAATCCGAGGTTAAACATATAGCTTCCCACTCGGTGGTCACTGATTTTCACTGCACGATGTAGGACAGCTTTGGACTTTTCCATCTCACCCAGCTCCATGTACAACACTCCAAGATTACTCAGCAGGTCTGCCACTGCTGGATGGTCTTTGCCTGATACTTTCTCTCTGATATGCAATGCAGATTGAAAGCACTCTTTTGCTTTCTCAAGCTGACCAGCAAACTTGTATGCCAGAGCAAGATTATTGTAAGAATCAGCAATTAGTCCATGATCTTCAAAGAAAAGTTTCTTGCGCATTTCTAGTGCATGTTCATGGTACTGTATTGCCTCCTCGTGGGAACAGATTTTACTATGCAGGATTCCAAGATTGCTCAATGAATCTGCAACATGAGGGTGCATTTCACCATAATTCTCTTCTCTCAAAACATGTGACCTTTGGAAAAAGTCCCTTGCAGTTGCCAGGTCACCCATCTCACTGTGCACAGATCCAAGATTGGAAAGGGAGGCAGCCACATCAGGATGCTGATGACCATAGAGAGCCTTTCTCATGTCAAGTGACTTCTGGAAATAATCTCTTGCTTCTTCAATCTTGCCACTATTGAAGAAAACATTTCCCAATTTATTGAAAGAATCTGCAATCTCAGGAGTTGGGCTTTGTGGGTTAAGCTTTTGAAGAATTTCCAGAGCACGCATATGGCAATCTTCAGCAAACCGATAATTTCCATTCTCATGATGAGCAAGACCTAGGTTGTTCAAGACAGTTGCAATAAAATTGACTTTGTTGGTATCGGCACCATCAAAGTCATTCTTTGCAATTTTAAGCGCATTGTGAAAATATGTTGTAGCTGCCGACAGGAAAAAATGTTTCCTGCAAATGTCACCAAAACTTAAGAAAGCAGGGCTTTGCAGTAAATTCCTCACATCTCTAGTTGCATTTCCCGTATCCAAGACATCTGTTAGGTCTTGAAACCCTGTGTTCCAGACAGTATAAGTAAGCCACATTAAATGAGGAGCCATCATTTGTGAAGAGATATGAAACTCCAAGTCAAAATGAAGTAGGTTGTGCTGGGCAGCAGTGGAAAGAGTTTCAATGTATGAAAGAATGATTGCAGCAATCTGCTCCTTACTGTAATTTTGGCAAAGGTATTCCCTGAAGACATCATGTACAACTTGGTGCATCTTGATGAGCCTTTTGGAACTATCATCTGGACAAAACTGCATCAGTAAGGAGCACTTGGAAATTTCAGCAGCAATCATGTCCTCATCACAATCTGGGTCTTGCTTCATTACAAAGCTGACAATGAGATCAATTTCAACAGGTGCTGGAGCACCCATAGCCAAAAATTGAACCACATGTTCAAAAGTTTGGTTTTGCACCAGTTTTTTCAATGCCAGTGTGACAGCAGAGGTCATAGAAGAACGGTAACTTTTGTTTGTCCTTTCATAAACAGTCTCTGTGGAGGTTCGCTTTTTCAAGGTTTCCAATTTCTTGAGGTAGTTCCCCCAGATTTTACCAGGATTCATTTGACTGCCCTCATTTGTGTAGTAAACATAGAGCGCAGCACAGGCAATGGCCAAGGGTTGATTGTCCAAAGCATTCAAAACTAACTGCACAATTTGCTCTTCTTCAGCATTACAAGAAAACTGACAGATGCTTTGTAGAAGATTCATAGCATCATTGGGTTGCATTCCTTGACTCAGGGAGACATGTTGACACAGGGGATCGGCCACTGGTATGTTTGTGCTGTCCTGGGTAGTAACAAGAACATGTCCACAGCCTCCCCAATCTTCATCAGGCAACCAATCTCTTATGTTTTCATAATGAAACCTGCAATCTCTTGTGTTTTGCAGTTCTTCAGCATTGTCAAAAATGAGCAGCCAACTGGAATAGCTTTGCACTTTGGCACCTATCAGCACTTTGAGATGAGAAATCTTCTCAAATGGCATCAACTTTGAATCTCCTCCTGTGATACTGTTTAGTGAGTATTCTGTAACACCAACTTTGCGGGCAAATTTGTAGTAAGAATCAAGCATAGCCTGTTCATCTTCAGCATTCAAGGTCATCACAAGTGTACAACTGTCAGGGTCACTTCTGGCAGATTCTCTTTCAAAGAACTGTATGCCAACCTCCCGAGCAATCTGACTTTTCCCACAACCTGGATTGCCTGAGACATAAACTGTAACAATGGACGCATCCTTATTGGTGTTTTGGAGGAATGTGAACTTTTGCATTATGTCTTCCACTTCCATTTTTCTCTGAACAACTTTGTGAGATGGTTCCAGTGGAAGTACCTTGAAGGACTTAGGTTTACCCTTTATCTCATCCTCCAAGACATGAACTTGCTCTTGAAGCATTTGAAGTTCCCCAGTGGGAAAACTACTTTGGTTAATTATTCTTTGCAGCTCTTTAGTGTCAAGATGCAGCGAGTTGAGTGCTTTCAAGACCCTGTTTGCATGTGCCTGAAAGTCTGCTTCCAAAATAACAGCTTCAGAGAGATGTGCAAAGACATTGTTGCGGAAAACTCGTAGATCATCAACACTTCCGGCAGTTGTTGGACTTAAAAGTTTTCCAAGTGAGTCAGAATAGAGAATTGCAAAGAAGAAACATGTACAATCCCATTCCTCTGTCTTTCCTTTCTGGATAATTCCCAAAACTCTTGAATTCTTCCTCCGACTTTTCTTTGACTCATTGTTAAAAAAGTCGAGCCCATTCTTTGCAGTGTCTTCCCATGCACCCAGTGTTTTGCCATGGCACCGATCCCATTCCTGTTTGAACAGTATCCTCAGACCTTCCCGGATAATGTTGGTGGTGATGTAACAAACACGGAAATAATTCAGTTCCTCTGGTGTATACTCTTTGCTGGCCATACTACAAATTGGACTACTGGGTGTACTGGGTGCTGTCAAGAGAAATCACGTTTGTGTGGTTAAACCTTGTAAAACTTACATCTTCCAGAAGAAACTATTTTTCTCTGCGAACAAAACCCAAATAAAATCAGCTGTGTAAATCTCATGAATTAAGCACCTTGTTACAGATATTTCTTGTTGAAATACAGTTGAACTCAAGGACTGCAAGACCTGTGAAAGTCGACGAAAATTTTGCAATACCCATGGTTTTTTAAGGACCATCTCCTAGCAATCTGCCCGAGAGGGGTACCTTTCTCAGGCTTAAGGTATAAACTAGTAGTAATCAGAGATTATGAGAGTGCATTCGACACTCTCACTTTAATATATACATACCGTAAATAAATGATTTCACTAACTCACTTTTAACCTTTGTCTATTGGTAAAGTCAATTTTTTTCAGCAGCAACCTTTCTCAGGCTTAAGGTATAAATTATTAAAGGCTAGGGATTTCACAAGTTGAGATATGAAAGGGTAGGGAAATCAGAGCATCTTGACTCCAGCCACAACATGAACGGAACAAATAATACTTGTTTTTGCTTACAACCCCTTCATGGTAATGCTTGATGTTCTCCCATACTCCCAGAAAAATTAGGTACGGATGTGCAGCCTGCTTTCCAAAACCCTTACACCAAGTGGGATTTTCCCTACCCTATTTAAGACCATACCCTCAAATCGATACCCTGTTTCAGACTAATTAGCCATTGTGAAGGGCTTTTGTTAATGGTTTTTATCGATGACAGGAGATAATGATGAAAAAATAGCTTCTGCTAAAACACATACTCAAGTCGACAAGAATGCAAAAGCCATACCCTATTTGAAAACAAAATGGCCAAAATCGATACCTTATTTCTGACCAAAACTGCTAAAAATCATGTCCTTTGGGGCCAAACATAGTTTAGTTTACAGCCCTTACAAGGGAGTACCCCTGAGCCATAATAATGTTCATTAACTTGAGTCCAAGGGTTTAGAAAATTTATGAGATGGATACCTCTTGTATAAATTGTATACAAAAGGGTAAGAGGTTGGACTTCACGGGAGAGCCTCCCTATATAAAACTTTCTAGGGTACCCCCCTGAAAAAAATGTGTAAGCGATTGTATGCTTTTCAACCAGTGAGCAGAGTCTCCTTCAATCTTCCTCCTTCCTCTTCCCGATTTTCCTAAGTAGATAGAGGGTGCTTTCCTTTATGCCAAAGATTCCGGAAAATTTCGGTTAGAAGTCAAATGGAAAGGTCTGTTCCGGTTCCTTCTGACAGGAATATTCTGGACCACCTCTTGAGGTGATCCACTTTGAACTTATTGGTCCGACCAAAATTTGCTGTTCCATTTTGAACAAACCGATTCATTGCCCTACTTCTCTTCACTTATGTAAGGTATTCAGAAAAGGAATAAAAAATGATAAGAGACATTCCTTTTGGTTGGCCCGGATTGATTGGAAAATGTTGTTCCATTTTCCTTGGGTATTCCCACTGGTGACTTCACTGGTCTCTGTTCATTCGGTTTGGCATAATGGAAGGGTGTCTGGAAAACCTGAATAGCAAATAGTAAATAGTACGAATAGTGCGAATAGTCTCAAATAGTGCAAATAGTCTCTAGCAAACAGTCTTGAATAGTGGTGAATAGCGGCAAATCGTAGCAAATGGGGTACCCAGTATCTCCCAGTCGGGTGT